AGCTGTGGGAGACTTGGGGTTGGCATAACGCCGAAGCCGCTGAGTCGAAGTCAAGTTCGCCAAAGGCGTACGGTGAAGCTGGGCAAGAGTCGGCTCAGCCTGGCTCGTAGCCGCCGCTGAGCTGACTGGAGCCTCCGCAGAGTCTGCCAATGAAGTCACCGAAGACGCTTGACTAGCTGAGGGAGCCACACTAGGACCGATAACGGAACTCGCTACTGGAGCGTCTCGGCGAGGATGGACAATCAACTCCAATCGCCGAGTTTCACCAGCTGGGATATTGAGAACCTCAGGGAAGCGAGACGCCAAGACACGACACAGCCGAGCGTTAAGGAGAAGGTCGGACGGATCAAGTCCAGGAACCTGCAATCCACCGCCAGCAGCAGCAGCCATGTGAGGGTCGTGCATCGGAATAATACCATTCCGACGGATGAGCCGCTTCTGTCGCAAGATCACAGCCCGCTGCTCAGCGATCACCGACTGAGCGTGCCGCAAAGGTTGAGTGCCGGTGGAGCTATACAACCGCACCGACTCCTGCAGTTGCTCGAAGTGCTTGGAAGCGATGCCCTGTAGAGTGACAAACGCCGCATCCCTCTCGGAAATGGATCGGAGAAGGACGTCGATCTCAGCGTCTCGATCCAAGACTTGCTGATGGTGGAGCTGAGCTTGACCCAACGCAGCGTCAACCTTGCTCTGCTCAGCTGCGATAGCCCGAGCAAGTTTTGCCTCACTCAGAGCTACAGCTTTTCGCAGTGAAGCAAGGAGATTAGCCGACTGCGCGGCAGCAGCCTCCAATCGAGACACTTGCTGTTGAGCCGACGAGAGCTGAGTTGACAAGTCGACGTTGCTGAGAGCAAGCGAGTCCAGTCGCCGAGTCAGTGCGCGGTTCTCCTCCTGAACAGCTTGATTGTCAGCTCGGAGATCGCCAATGATCTGTGGATAATCAAGAGCGGCGTAGTTGCCTTTCAAGATATCCAACCGTTCCCCCGCGGAGGCAGCATGCAAGGTCGCTTGCCGCTGCACGGGATTGGAGGGCTCCACGGAACGAGTAAATCCGTAGGCCATGAGCCTCGCCAAGAAGGTCAATTCTTCTCGGCACTCATACCCTTGCTCGTTTACTCTGGCCATGAGGGAGTCAAGACTCACTGGAGCAGCCGAGCTTGGCTGACTGGTGGCGCCCGAAGTGGTGTCGCCCGGCAAGCTCGGTGGACCAGGAAGGCGTACGCGAGAAGACCCCGCCGACTCCGCGTCAGACTCATGAGAAGTTGTCAGGTCGACCAACCCAGCCTCAGGCCGGTCGCTGACCCCACGAGTACCGACGGGTCGGGAAATCGACTCAGCTGGCACGCCTTCACCTCGACGAGGAGTTGGAGAAGAAGGATGGTGCCGCGAGTGTGCTGGAGTAACAAGCGAGGAGTAAGGAGCTGCCAAGGGAGTGACAGCGGAAGCAACAAACGTACCGAAGAAGGTGGTGGAGAGCCGCGGGACGTCATCAGCCGAGTATGGACCAACGGTGGCAGAACCAAATGAAGGATTAAGACACTCACCAGCTCGGCTCGTATCATAACCGGGGCAGCTGTGGTGTAGGGATTCCCAGATTCGACCACACGCCAACCTACTTTAGGTCAAGAATCGGCTCGGTCTGATAACCCAGAGCTTAGGAGCAAAGGATCACGGTAAGTACTCGGCGATCTGTCCGGATATGCTATCCGGATGGCCGCTGGGCTCAACGGTCGCCGGAACTCAGCTGAAGGGTCGGTAGAGATCCGAAACGACTACATTTCACTAGATATTTGTATAAGAAGCATAGGATTAAATAGGGGGAGCCGAAAGGGCTCCCAGAAGATAACAAAGCAGAATTTTCCTAGTCCAAGACACGTGTACACTTTTCCGGTAAGTCCCTGCATAGGGCTGGATTACGCCTGCCGTCAATACTCGAGAGGCATAGCTTGTAGGGTATTGATTGGTAGCGCCAAGATATTAGGTCGGTCCGGGTAGGACAAAGTCTCGCTACGCGCGAAAGAAAGTCCCGCATACTCAGCGGGCCGGTACGTCGGATAGCCCAGGTGCCGTAACACTTCTAGCTGAGCAGCCTCTGCGCTCGGTGACCTGTAAAAGCGCTCGTGCGCCGTCGTCCATCCTTTGGTGGAGGGCACAGGGTTGTGAACGAGCTCAGCCTATCCAAACTCGGCGGATCCTCGGAAGTGATCTGACTTGATTAGTCGGAACCGAGTGGAAGCGAGCCACTCGTCTGTCCCGGAAGGGCCGGACCGCGAGGGGGCCACCCTCTGCGCAGGCCATACAACCGCCGACCTAACTCGGCGATTCGTTGTGGTTTGTGTAAGGAATCCACATCTGACGGTATTCGTGTGTTCTACTACACCACAGTACGTCAAGTCTAAGGGATCCGTAAAAAGATGTAGTTCTTGACCAAGAAGCAGGCTCCGAAATTCGCGCAACAGGAGAGCGATGCTCAGTAACTCCAGTCGGTTTGCTGGGTAAAGCGTCTGAGCACCATTGCATTTCTTCGACCAGAATACCAGCAGTTTGTCATGCTGCATGATGACGGCTCCGAGCTGTAGTTGTGAAGCGTCTGTGTAGACGTGAAAAGGTTTGCCAGACTCTGGAAATGCCAGCTTCACTGTGCCAGCGAGTGCCTCTGCCTCAAATGCCGTTTGTAGCTCGGTCGTCCATCGAAAAGGTTTTGATGGCGATAGTAGCGCTGTTAGTGGGCTAACCAATGCGGCTCGCTTGGGGATCATGTCGCGATAGTAGTTCACCATGACAAATCGTCGAAGGTCACGACGGTGGCGAGGCGGGGCAATTGCTGTGATAGCTCGCACCTTGTTCGGGATCGGCTCAATGTCAGCCTCACTTAGGCTGTAACCAAGGTAGGCCACCGCATCCGCACAAATCTTACTCTTCTTCGGGTGCAAAGTCAACCCTGCGTCAATGAGGCGCGTAAACACCATCTTCAAATGTTTCATGTGCTGCTCAAACGTTTCCGAGATCACTAAAATATCGTCCAAGTAAACGCGGACGTAGCTTAAGACATTGCCCTCGCAGGACTTCGCTGTCACGTTCGTTCCTCTCAATCAGCTCAAATTGCGCCTCCATACTGGGTAGATCCCAGCCTCGGGACACACGGTGCAGCTCGACTTGCCAGTCCACCGGCATGTCCATCTTGTACATCCTGACGATGTCTGCTTCCGGCACGGCTTCGTTTTCTCCGTGCTCTAAAAATGGAAACATTCGTAGCAGAGTTCTAAATTCTCGGCTGTACTCTTTCACATTTGTCCCCTTTTTCTTCCGCAGTTGCATGAGTTCGTCTATGAGAACACCACACGTTCCTAGAGAACAGTGTCTGGTCGTTAGCTGTCAAAGTGCCATGAGGGTGATGTTTGGTCGGAACTCTGCTTCCTCCCTGAAGATGTCGTTGAAGAATCGCAGGCTCTCGTCAAACAGTAAAACCTGGATATCTTCGGCCATTGCCCATTGATCTCCTTGATCTAGTGTGTAGCCCATGAATGCTTGGAACTCTTGCAACTTCAGCACCCAGGTTAGCCACGTTTCCAGTCTCCGCCGCGGAAAACAGGAACCTTCTTCTTCACCACTGTACCATTTGCCTTGGTCTTGGTAAATGTTATCTCGTCCGTCATGCGGAGTTGTCGGTGACGGGAGATTTGTTCTTCTTGTTGGTCGATGTAGCCACGCTACGGTTATTTGCTAGCAAAATGTCACGTGTTGGTTTGGCTACTTGCTGTGTTTGTAGTAAATTGACAACTGAGTTAGTTAGATGTCGAAGAGGTCCTACGAGTAGTTGCTCCTAGCTCTCCTAGAAGTGGTTGCTACCATTTCTCCTACAATCTACTTGAATGCCCGTACCTCAAGCATATGAATGCTGCACCTGTGGAAGTCCTGCTTCAACTTCCTCTGCCGATGCAGCTTGTATACATCCATGTACTCAATGGTTTCGCTCGCCATTGCATGCTGTTGAATAAGACAGCACGTCAAAGCTGTGCTTCATCACAGAGCGCTGCAAAGGATTTAACGACCTTCGTCTCCAAGCACAGCAACAAGTTCAGTACGACCATTAATGGTGTGGTTGTCGTGCCATGTGGGTGGAGCGGGTGATGCATTTAAATCCTCCCAAAGTTACGGGATACGTCTTGGACGGTGAGGTCACGACCTCAGGGGTCACGCCTGATAAATTCGTTAACGTTTTTATCTTCCGGCGCCGGTTTTAGTGAGGTTGGCGAAGCATTCTTGGATCTTTGTGACGAGGACAAGAAGTGTAGCTCTCATTTCAAGAAGAAAGGCTTGAAAGCAACAGTGCAGCAGTTACTGGCCAGGTTCGATAGGAATCCTACTTCGGCTTGTGATAAGCAGGGTTTAGAGAAAGGGTATCTGTCACTAGGTCTTTGGGAATACTTCTAACAGGATGGAGCTCGAGGACGGTCGTTCCACCACTTATTTAGGGATTACTTCAACGTTTTCTGGTGTATTTGCTTATTCAGCAAAATTAACAGTAGCGCGCTCGCTGCGTTTGCCCGGCCCGAGGAACTCTTCGATTTGTGAAGAAAACCGATGTCAATATTCTATTTTAATGTGACTGGTGTTAAAACTATAAATAAAAACGTTAGAAAAAGTCAATTAAAAATGTTCGGTATAAATGCATTTCAACTTTAGTATTGTCCAAATGGATGGCATGTGAGTTGAAGGGAAGAAAAACTCTGAGCTACTTTTAGAATGTAGGGTAGCTACTGTCCTATTTTGACTACATGTAATAAGAAGCTGGTTGCTCAATGCTGTAAAAGGCGCGGCAGTCCCGTAACATTAGAGCGAGGACTACGCAAAGTTTTAGCTGTAAGGTGACATTTGTATGTTACAAAAATGTATTCGTTCTTCATCTTCGCGAAAATTCAATAACACATATCCTTTGATCTTCCAGGTACTGTTCTGTAAACTCACATCAAATATAGTAAAGTGTATAACTCAGTCTGCTACGCTTGTGCCTGTTCTTGGCTCTCAACGGGAGCAGGAGCCAACGACTTAATGAGGTCAAACATCATCGCCTGTTGTTGCTGGATTGTCGCGAGTAGTTGTGCGTGTTGCTCTTGCTGAACTTGTTGCTGTTCGTGATGCAGTTTCTCCAGTCGTGCCACCTGTTGCTCCGAATGACGTTTCTGCGCAGCCAGCTCCCGCTCCATCTTGCGTTCCATCAACTCTAGACGACGTTGAGCCATCCGCTCTCGCTCCTGCACTAGATCAGGGAGTGCGATATTCAAAGCTACAGGGTTTGGCTGGACAGAGGGCGACGATTCTGCGGCCACTACCGGCAAATTGCTCTTCCCTTTGTCATACTCCTCCGTCTGCTTCGTCACCTCGGCGAGCAACGCGCATTTCGTGTCGAACTCGTCATCTGTGCCCGATTTCCTTAATGCCATGGTATTGTCCGCCTTGAAGTGACTCAAGAGCAGACTCAACCTCGCCTGACACGCGCCCGCTGTTTTGTCCAATCGGAACGACTCTTCCCGTCGCAAGTTCTGCGTCACTTGCTGCCATCCGTCCATCACGTACGGGAATGTCCATGGCTTGATAGCCAGCACGTGTGTCAGCAGCAAAATGTCGTCGGACGAGACGAAGTGGGAGCGGTTGCCAGCAACAGTTGCGACCTTCTTCCTGGCCGGCTCGGCAAGCTCTGTATCTAGAACGAAGTTGTTAGAAACCTGCTCTTCAATCGTTTGCTCTGTAACTGTCTGTAGAGTTGCCGCCTCCGTAGCCGCACGTTTCAACTGCGACCGATGTAGGCCGTGTCTCTTCTTGAAGCGATGCACCCAGGCCACCGACACGCTCTCTTGGCTGCCTCGCGTGCGTTTGAGAATCTCGTTAGCTTTGGTCCATAGCTCCGAGTCGCTCAGTATCCCTCCACTACTGTCCAGTTGTTTGAGGTCCACGCCCAACTGCGTCGCCCGTGCCACGATGAACGCGTACAGTTCCTGCTCCATGTCTGGGTAGCGGCCACTCTGGAAGCGTGTGGCCTCCGGGTTGGCGCATACTTCTTCGGGTGCGCGCACGATGTGACCCACAGTAGAGCGTGCTACCCACTGACCGAACGTCGCATACGCCCACTCACGTAGCTGCTCCTGCGTCAGCTCTGGGTGTAGCTGGTGGTGGCGCCGGAGCCGATTCTTATCGGCGATGGTCAAGTGATGGCGACTGCGAGAGGTTGACATGACGCTATGCTGTTGAGTCGGTCCGAGAGCACAAAGGAGAAGTGCTCTTACGCCACAGAACCGAGATATAGAAATGCGTTGAGCTCCAAAAATGCTGCACAGCTGTCAAAGATGTATCCATTTCTAATTAACACCATCGAGTCCATGTGGCACAAGGAGCTACGATGGATGCGGCACGTTGTGCGTGCACAGGACCAGGAGTTGCGTTTAGACCGCTGGCTGCGGCATCAGTTCCCTACGCTTCCGCAAAGCTTCGTACAGACGCAGTTACGCAAGCGTAAAATCCGTTTGCAGTCCGCAACAGCTTCGAATTTAGAGGCGACTCGGGCCAATTCGCTGCTGCGCGAAGGCTCCGTGGTGGCCATCGATGCGCACCTCTTCCTCTCCAAACTGCAGCCACTAGTAGTGCAGCAAGTAGAACAAGACATAGCGACACGACAACATCTAACTACGGCACAGGACAAGAGGCTGCTGCAACTGAAGCGATGCGTTGTGTACCAAGACGCGCAGTTTGTGGTGCTCAACAAACCTCACGGACTGGCTGTGCAGGACGGCTCGACGCTGACTGAATCACTGGCACTCTACTTGCCGTGGATTGCAGAAGTCTTGGGTAATAGCCACAAAATTCAACAGGAAGAGGAGACGCAGCAACAACTCAGACTGGTGCATCGACTGGATAAAGAGACGTCGGGTGTGCTGGTGTTAGCGCGCTCTCGTCTCGCAGCTGCCAAGTTCTCTAAGCTACTACGCAATGGCGCTGTATATAAGACATATGAGGCGCTGGTTGCATCAAGTTTAAAACCAAGTGCTGGCTACTCGAGCTTGAAGAAGTTTGAAGGTCGAAGCCTTAAACTTCCTGTGGATGGCAAACCGGCACATACACTTGTAGAGCAGGTATGGAGACAGAATCGCCATACTCAGCCAGCAGGTACATGGGTACAGCTCCGCCCACACACCGGCCGCAAGCACCAGCTACGCGTACACTGCGCTCAAGAGCTTGGAATGCCGATCGTAGGGGACACAAAGTATCAAGGACATTTAGCTGACCGACTGTATCTACACGCAACGCGCATTCGGTTCCATGACCCATTTACTCCCGGGAAATTCATCGACGTATCTTGCAAGATGCAACAATGAAAACGATGTTTAAAACTTCAAAATAAAAAAAAAACATCTGACATATCAGTTGCACGTTAGTCCTTTTTAGAGTGCGCTGCAACTGATTTAATGAGGTCCAGCATCATTGCTTGCTGTTGCTGAATAGTTGCCAACAGCTGCGCGTGTTGGTTCTGCTGGGCTTCCAGTTGTGCGCGTTGCAAACGCTCAAGTTGCCGCACTTGTTCATCCGCATATCGTCGCTGTTCAGCCAACTCCCGCTCCATCTTGATCTCAAGTAATTCCAAGCGGCGTTGGCCATCCCTATCGGCTTCCCCTGTTGCCTCTGCAACAGCGATGGCAGCTGCCACTTCGCCCACCTTGGCAACAGCCGCGTCGTGTTGCGTAACATTAAACGACGGTGTGGGCTCTCCTCTCCGCTTACGGAGATCTTCCTGGAACTCCTCAAAAGCTGATATCTTGGCCTGCACTTCGGCCAAGAGTTCTCGTTTGCGTTCATACTCTTGCGAAGTGCCGGATTTACGCAATGCTATACTATTTCCAGCTCGCAAATGATCGAGTAGCAGCACGACGCGAGCTTGACAAGCTCCTGCTGTTTTATCCAAGTTAAAGTTTGAATGCTGTCGTAATTGACGACAAACTTCTTGCCATCCGTCCATTATTTGCGGATAGGCCCACGGTTTGGTCTCCAAAACTTGAGAAAGTAACAGAATGTCATCAGCCGACACAAATTGCTTCCTACCTGCCAACTTCGGTGACGTTGACGCAACCTTTTTCGGTGCTGGGATTAATGATAACTCATCTTCTACTTCAGTTCCATCGCTCTCGTCTCTGGTTCGTTTCGAAGAGCTTTGTTTCTCTCTATCTTGCTCCAACAGAGCTATATTTTTCGCCGTGACGACTGTCTCTACAAGATCGGACGTTATAGCGACAGTGTTCTCCACTTCTGTGTGCATTTTCACAGTTCTCTGAGATCGATGGAGGCCATGACGCTTTTTAAATCTCTGTACCCAACCCAGTGACACAGACTGGGAGGGTCCTCTAATCCGAGTGAGGATCTCGTTGGCTTTAGTCCATAGTCGACCTTCACTGAGGATGGGTTGGTCGTCTCGGAGCAGCTCTTCGCTCTGCTCTTCGCTCTGTTTGATCATGATATATTCGTATAGTTCGGCTTCCATCTCGGGATAGCGACCGCTCTGGATACGTTTTGCTGTCGGGTTGGCACACAGTTCTTCGGGCATACTGGCAATTTTGCCAATGGTGGAGCGTCCAATCCACTTGCCGAAGTTGTCGTGCACCCATTCGCGAAGCTGCTCCTGCGTCAACTCGGGCCGCTCGCGGTGGTGTGCGCGGAGCTGGTTCTTCTCCTGGATGGTCAAGTGATGACGCGCTATTGCCATGTTGCAAAGATGCAAGACCTCTCTTACGCTCTCGGACGGAAGAAAAAATTGCTCTGGAAGTTGCGGGAACGAGTGATTGGTCGTTTGTATTAAGAAAAGGTTTTGTGCCCATATGTTGCTCAAAGCGAAAAGGGTCGCCAACTGTCTTTCAGACGATCTAAGAACATATGACGCATAAGTGTAAGCAATACTTGAAAGGTCGTAAGTGCTCGACATTGTCACGTATAGTATCGTCCTCCGTGGCGATGACTTCAGCATCACCAGCCTCAAAAACTACCCGCCAAGCGCAAACCCAAGCTCAAACTGACACATTCTTGCTTGAAGATGAACGTTGCGAACGGGCCTACCAGCGCCGCAAAACTAAATTCCAAGCATTATTGCAGCAACAAGACTGTTGCGGAGAGCGCATCTTTGTTCTTAGTGACGACAAGCCTTGGAAAATCTTTAGAAACGCCAACACTACTGAAGGAAGACTGCAACGACGCAGACTGATCTTCGAGCGTTGCAGGAACTTCCCCGCGTTGCATCAAGCGTGCATCGATGGTGACCGAGAGCGAGTCCGCAGTCTTTTAAACACTCCAGGCGTGTGTGCCCTAGAGCACGACGCCTGTGGACGCATCGCACTGCACCACGCTGTTATTAACGAGCAGCTTACGATCGCAAAGAAAATGCTGCGACGCCGAGATGGCAAGCTGCAAGCTCATGTTCGAGACAACTCGAACCGTACCGCACTTCACTACGTACTGGAGAAAATGGAGACCTTAGCTCGACGTCATAAAAAATTAAAATCTCCAGCGTTAGTCACGATAGAAATGAGAATTGAGAACAAAAGGTATCGACGACTATGGACGCTGGCTGATCGAATGCTAACGATGATCAATAGGACGGTGTTAGAAACCTGTGAGGGGAATAGCGAGAGTATTAAAGTGCTGGATATGCGTTCTCGTGGAGATGCGTGGGATGTTTGTCGCTCTGGGGACTTAGAACGGTTAGAAACGATTGGTAAAGTTTTTGGGTGCCTCAAAAATGATTGGGAATTGAGTGAGTTGAAGCGGACGTTGTTGCACGAAGCTTGCGAGAACCAACAGCTTCAAGTTGTGAATTATCTAATATCGACGATGGAAATACCAGTACTAATGCAGGATACTTCGGGCTGTACTGCGTTGCATTGTGCTGCTCGTCGAGGGTTTCTCGACGTCTGTCAGATGCTCCTTAGCATGTCACCAAATGGTTACAACTATCAGTTAGATGACAATACAGAAGAGCTGGTGCTTGTTCAAGATAGTCGCGGAAGAACGGCGTTGCATTGGTGTCTTTTAGGGTCGTACGATCCGTTCGCACGTCGGCAACTTGCTGTGTTCTTAGGGCAGTCGTGTCCAGCTGTACTGCATATCAGCGACCAAGACGGTGTATCGCCACTTCACCTGGCCATCTGGAGAGGAGAAATAGAAGTGGTACAAGAATTCATTACGTTAGGTGCGAACGTATGTGCTGCTGTCATTTTATCCGACACTAAAGAAGCAGAGAAAGCGTCTTGGGCACCTTGTGGCATTGTCTTCCAACGTCGCTGTCTTCGTCAGATAGAGAGTGATGTACGTACTCGTACTGACGAAAATATTTCTAAAATTCAAACGCTTGACTGGAAACTACAATATCCGATGTGGCATTGGACACAACGATCAAATCAAAGACGCTCTACGTTAAACAAACCATGTGTCGGAAACAAGGAAGACGAGCGCAGCAATAGCGAGCCAATTGACACGGAAGAATTAGGATGCCGGAAATATGGCGGAAGCTGTCGGCGCTGTAAGGATACACATTCCAAAACGACCCAAATTTCTCGCAACTTCCAGATACTGCCTGCTTTGTTGCTCGCACTTCGAATGTGTGCGTTGAAATTGGACTGTGGGTCAATGCTGGAACGTCGAGTGGCGATTGTGGATCTACTTCTCGTGAATGGAGCAAATCCTGATAATCAGGATGGGGGAATTGTTACAGATAGTACTAATCGATTGAACTCCTTCAATCCATCAGCACTAAGTGAAGGTCTTCGATCCTCGCTCCGATGTTCGCAAATAATTCCAATGCTGCGTCAATATGGAGCTGAAGACGTTAGTATTCACAGTATTATGCAGTGGCTTTCAGCCTCTTCAACTGCTAGTAACCAAGCTGAGTTGGTACTATCCCAGTTGCTTGACTTCGATAATGTTACAAGCAGCGCCGAGTTTGTAACGATGCTTTTCTACCAGAAACATTTTGTCACATTGTGCGAGTTGTGGTCCATCAAAGCGCATATGACTTGCGGTTCTCCGTGGAAATGTATCCATGAAGCATTAGTATCTTGGAGTGAACCGAGGAAAAGACCTATCGGAGTTGGAAATCTTGACGTTAAACACCTAAAGTTCTTATGCAGATTGGTGCATCCGAGTGGAAATATTTTTACTGGTAAAGGTGATATTCTGCATGATCGTTGCGCTTGGGAGCTTTTCGAGTATTGTGTGGAAATGTTTCTAAAGCAGCGAGATGAAGATCGTTTTAACACAAGCAATGTAACATTGCGGGAACCGACCTTACTACTTTGTATTCAGACACTATTCAAGCACTGGGAGCGCAACGACGATACGGATGAACGGACTCGGTCCAAGGCTAAGCAATGGCTTAAACCGTCAATACTGCGAGGCTACTTCGACTGTGCCTTAGTTCTCCTCGAAACGCTGCATCGATTTGGTGACACCAGTGCCTTATTGGATAAAGTGTTCGAGGTATACTCCTCCGCAATAAACACTCGATCAGGTGAGCAGTTGCTTCACCACCGAGAATTTTTGATCGTGTGTGTTGAGAATCTGCTGACGTCAACAACTGGGCAACAAATGAAAGCACCAGTTGCCTCTACTCGATCAGTCGTGCACATGTGCGCAAACAATTTGCCGTTCGTACTTATCGAAAACTGTGTCAATACTGTTTTCACTAGTGCACTGACAGCGATGAAATCTACTCGTGTGGGAGGGAAAACCATGATGCAGTGGGTGCTAGTGCATGAGCGATGCGATATCCTTCGGTTGTTGCTTAAGGGTACTTCACCTGGAACCGAGCGTGCTTTGTTGTGGGCTGCGTTTGTGGCTGCATCTACAGCAAATATGTTCCTTGAAGCGAGCAGTTGTGGAGCATTTTTGTTATCATTTTATCTGGAGGATCTACAATCACATATCAAAGTGAGCGAGAGGAAGAATTTACTGATGATATTGATTGTGAAAAGGGCAATCCCGACCGACTCAGCTGAACTGTTGGAACGCTTGCTGAAGCTTTGGGGAAGTGAAAAAGAGCAGTTCGGAAACTTTATAAAAGAAGCAGCTGTACTACACACAATTGCACGTTGGAACGCTATTCGAGTTGCCGATTTTTGCCTGACTGAACAAAGTTCGAGTAAGTTTCAAGTTTATCAAGTAAAGTGGCTGCAGGTATTTAACGAAGAATCTCAACTTCGTCACGAACTGGATGAATGCACCCCGCTGGAACTTTGTCGCATGCTTGGCTACAATCACTTGTACAAATTGCTAGCTTGTCGGCTGCAACCAAGTCTTCCAACAGATGATGTCGTGGAGGCTAACACTACTGAATCAATGTTAAGCAGCGCGAATAATTCAAAGGCGCACGGTCAGGTGGGTCTTCTACGAAGTATCATCATCATCAACGAAGATTTAATTGCACGCGGGAAGGTAGAAGAATGTTTCAAAGGATACCATCGCAATGTTACAATTCAGAATCCGTGGGTGTCTGCAGTGACACAGAACCAGGTTTCACGCCTGCAAGCAATATCTCTAAGCTCTTATCCCGACATATCCTTGCGAACATTAGTCCTCGCAGCAATCAATGCCTCGTCATTGAAGGTATTGCAGTGGATTTTAGAAGCGAATGCTCCCATTGCGACTCAATTATCAGACGATGACGCCATCGAGTGTCTGTATGCCACAGCCAAACATCCAGGCGACGTGTACGCCGAGATGACTTTACTCTTGCTGGAACATCAACTCAGTCCTGGACGTTTATCCGGGGATGGCATCGGTATTCCTTTACTGCATCGTGCGGCGTGTTTCTCCAACACAATGCTAGCTACCGGTATCATGTCATTGCTACTTGAAAGACCGGATTGCGACGTCAATGCACTCGACGCCTTCGGAAACACTGCCGTATCGTATGCCATTGCAGCTGGATCTATTCGCAACGCGTGTTTCCTTCTTAAGAATCCAAAGTGTCGATTGGAGGCGGAGTACGAAGGCCAGTCGTGTTTCTACTATGCGCTTCATCTCCTTCCCTCTTTCGCGTGGCGCATAATCGCTCGTGAACTGTTAGTAACTAAGCGAGATCGTGCATTTCTTCATTGTGACGCTGGTAACAAAACTTGTGGCTGCAAAGGATACGAAGGTGAAGACCAAGACGGAGATTTGTATCGTCAGTGTAACTTTTGCAGTCATGAATCTACGAGTCACCGGATAGTGCCACTTCCGTCGTGGTTTCGAGATCAATACGACACGTACGTCACTGTGTCTTCGACCTGCAAACGCCCATCTTCCAGCGCGGATGAGCATGACGACAGTGAGAGTGAAATGCCTCGACAATATTTAGCGGACAGCTACGACGTTGCCACTGACGAAGATGAAGAAACAGTACTTGAAAACGACCGTGGACGTTTAAACGTTCAGCTACTGAAGCGACTAACGGTACTCCAGTATGGCGACATCCTTCAGGCTAACGGACTTAGTGGTACCGTTGCTGTCGATGTTCAGATAGCGGAAGAAACAGTCATCGACAGTGTTAACAGCAAGAACGGCGAGCTGACTTCGCATGCTTCCAAAAAAGAGCCTGAAATGTCAGACTGTGTGACGTTTGATGCACAAGATTTGCAACAAATTGCAGATCAATACTTGGAACTCGAGGGTGAAGGTGTTCATCGTCGTGGTAGGAAGTTTACGGGCCCCTGGTGGCTACAGCAGGAGATTGGGAGCGTACATTCCTCGCAGTGTCTCTGCCAATTGCCTGTATTTGCCACCAGACCGAGTCAACTTGTGCAAATTGCACTTTGTCGATGGCTACGCCGCCTAGCTCTCGCCCACATGCGCTCAACAGGTACGAACGAAACGGAGCGTGCGATCATCGCGTTGGCTGCCGTTCAACCGGCGTTTGAGCACTGGCGTGACGTTGCAAGGCTCGATAAAGAATCCGTTGCCAAAACCCTACCGCTGTTGCCAAGCAGCGTGTTGCTTCACTGGCGATACGGCAAACAGCTTATGGCTTTGCAACGCTGGAAAAACTTCCGGACGAGCCCTGAAGTTGCGCACCAGCGACTGGAAACTCGACTGGAACTTGTTGCCGCCGAAATGCGACGCAATCGTTTCCTCACATTGCAGCAACGTCATCGGCAACTTGTGAAAGCAACTCGAAGCCTCAACGTGACAAGATAAAAGTAGTACAGTAATAAAATGTGTGCAAGAGGTCGTTCAATATTACTTTCAGTGCCACTTTTGTCACCTCTGTTACTACTATTACTGTCAAAACATGCAAGACCTGTGTGGTCTTCCGCGTCCATTGCTAACCTATAGGTCGTCCATCTCGAACACATCTCCATAGCGATGGACGTGCTCTTCTTGCTCTGGACCATTCATGTCTTCGTGATCGATCTCCGTGTCTGCAGATGACTCAGATCTGTTCTTGAGTTGAGCTGTCCTTCCGTCCAGGTGGTCGCTGGCTTGAGCGCTAATGTTAAGCGATTCGCGTGACTCGAAGGACAGTTTGTAGTTCCAGAACTCATCCCACAGTCTGGCCTCGCACTGTGATGCGCTCAAACTCTCATGTTTCATGTCTGCCGCGCTGTGGCGACGCTGAGCTTCGTGCTGTGGAATTGGCATAGGAGGCGAACACGGCATGAGCGGACAGGCTCCAGTAGTGAAGGACGCCGCTCTGCGTGCGAGTCTCCGTTGACTGAAGAGCCAATAGGACGAGTTCTCGTCGTATTCGTCCTCAGACGTCGTCATCTTGGGCAGCGGATCTGTCACAAAGCGGGGAGGCAACAAACCTCTCTTCTGGAGCTCTTGCTTCTCGAGCTGAACCGCTTGTTTAAGGTCCATCTGGAAGCCATGGCTTAGCCCGTGGCTCATGGGCTTGACAGGGCGACTGCCATTGCTTCGACTGCGCTGCATGGGCGGGCGAGCCGCAGAGTCTTTCGTGCGCTTGGGGATCGGATGCATGACGCTGGTGGCCATGAACGCAATTTAAATCTTAACGGAGCTTTTGGGTTTCTGAAGTTTCGACACTAACTTCAATGTGGGAAGCTTAAAATGGGGAGAGCTGCGACTTGGACGTGGGTTTTCAAGGTGTGCGCTCTTGTAGACGTTGATTGGAGCTCTAGCCTGCCGATTGCTATGTGAGAGCTTGTCGGGAAGACGTCAGTGTCAGCGAGACGCGTCTTTGGTGCTTCTTTTTATTGCGGCTGTTTGCGTGGCTAAGAATGACTTGGGTTTACTATGGTGAAATGAAAATCTTGATGGATTCATCGAAAGCAGCGTCAGACTTCTGGAACTGTCGCCCCAAGCAGACTGACAACACACTGTGGGATAAAAGGAGTTGCCAAAATCCTTGATGTCTTACTCGGATCTTTTTCAATTTTTTTTTGAGAAAAGGCGCATTTTTGGGTGTGCTGATTGGCGGCAACTTTTCGACTTTCTGTGAGCAGCACGTGAAAATGCAGCAAATCACCCAGGAAAACGGTTTGTAATTCTTAAGTGTAACGTGTAAACTTCAATTGACACACTCTGGGTAAGGACGCATAAATTTATTTATTATTAACGAGCAGTACGTAAAACAGTTGTCAGCTGCTGATTCAGCACCAGTCACAATCGCACCTTTCCACCATTTTCGCATGGATTGTTGGGCAAGCTCTGTTTGCCAGGTAATCCTCACGATTGGGTTGCTGACGCTTGACTCTGGGCCAGAGTCATCCGCCAGAGTCTGGCGGATGCAAGTTGGCTGCTGGTATCCTTTTCGGGTCAAGTGGCTTACAAAACTTAAGCTTGTTGGAGCTAAGGGTGCTGTCACCCAGAATCTTACAAATATTAGTTGTGAGCAATTCAAGTACAATTGTTACACCGAAGGACGTGTGCGGGATTCGCCACGCTTTTCCGACGTTGGTCAGATCACTGTTGGAACTTGGTGCTGGGGCAAAAATCATTACTGTGATGTGTAGATGGAATGCGTGGCGAGTCTGCGCTGCGATCCAAAGCGCTTCGAACGAATCCGCACGACCAAGCTCCAAACGGATTGGGACCGACGTACCGTCTTCATCAACTCCAAACGGATTTCGGAACAACAGCACACTATATTTTAGTGCAATCAAAGCGCTCATTGGGTCCCAAAAATCAAGACGAAATCAGTTGAAGAGTATTGCAAAACTTTGTAGGGGCAATCCTAGTACCACTGGCAGCTCCATCGATACTGGGAGGCTGTAGCCTTATCCTGCAAATAGATCTTTTGAAAAAGAATCTTTATTTTTTCTTTTAAGAAATGAACAAAGCAACTTTCCAACACTCTCTTCAACTGCAAATACGGCTCTGCAAACATCTTCACGCTGTGCTATCGGAAATGCTCCGCTTTGCATGAAACTATTTTCACGACAACTTCAGTTCCACCAGATAATTTTACGATTCCTTCTTCAGAACAGCAAACAATCATTGCTTCAGCCTACGTTGACCAATGTTATTGTACCTACCGAACATAATGCTTGTCTTTATGCAAAAATTAATATTTAGAGTGAAAATATTTACGTACCAGCAAATTGGTACCATTCTGACGTAACGGCTTGATCCAAAAAAGGCAACACTCGTCACTTAGTCACACCTCGACAATGGATCAGCACTACGACGAGCTGTACAAAGGTCTGCAATGCCCAGTTGAGTGTATATTTCATAACCATCGCTACTCACTCCATGCATTGGTCTTCTTTGTGAAACTCTATGTAGTGGTGCTGGTGGGCGACCCTGGTGTAGGCAAGACCAACCTCCTCGCCACCTTTCTCGCCGACGAAGCCGCCAACGAGCAAGGAATCTCTCGCAGTTTCTCCGCCGTACGCAAGGCCACAATTGGTGTCGAGTTCGCAACTGCCATCGTGCGCCACCCCAATGGCAAGCGCATCAAGGCGCAGATCTGGGACACTGGTAAGCTGACTGAAGAATCTTATCTCGCTCTCGCGTGCCTAACGTTGCTATCGTCAGCTGGACAGGAGCGTTATCGTGCAATCACAAGCTCGTAAGGGATAATTTTAAGCTCTTTGTCACCAATATTTTAAATTCTGATAAGCGTTTGATTCGTTGTGGAAGGCACTATCGACGAGCAGCGGGAGCGCTCGTGGTGTTTGATGTGACCAACCGCGAGACCTTCAACAACGCACAAGAGCACTGGCTTAAAGAGCTCAAGGCTGCCGCAGGTTTAAGTAGTACGTTATCGAGTTGCGTCATGTTTGTGGGGAACAAGGTGGACTTGGAGTCGTCCCACGTGCTTCAAGACCCTAAATACGTGGACCAGGAACTCCACGAGTCGACAGCTGCAACGCTAGGACTCATGCACCACCGTGCATCCGCCAAGACTTGCCACAATGTGCGTCGAGCATTTGAAGATCTCGTGATGGCCATCTACAACGCTGATAAAAACAAACAGCAGAGGACCGACGTAGCGCCCGTTATCCAACTCGAACAGACATCCAAGTCAACCATCCCAAGCAACACGAAGCCTACCAAATGCTGCTAAGTACGAATCCTGACCAGAAATTTTGGTTATCAGTTTTCCTGTGCAGGATTCTCAGTATCCTCGCTTTTCATTGCGAGAGATTACGTAGACAATAGGCAAACAAGTTCATGACATTGGAGCTAGAATAATGACTAGAATTGCTGTTGTGTGTCTACAACTTACTCAAGCGACCACGACTGCGTTTGGCAATGCCAGTATACAAAGGGTCAATGTGTTCTTCCTCCGTTGTGGCATCTCCTATCGGCTTTCCATCCGGCGATATGAAGAGCGCTCCCACACGTTCACCGTTGACAATGCGCAGAAGGACTCCTGGCTCGGCCTTGGCAACTACAGCAGCACGGACAGCGCCACTGTCCACCGCTCTGATGCACGAGTGCACCTTATCGTTCTGACCCATAGACGACACTCGTGACTCAGGCACGATGAACGTCTTGTCGCCAGGCTTAAAGCGCGAGATGAGCTTTCGATCTTCTCCTGAAGGTGACGAGGCCGTGTAGATGCCGTCAACATCAGTAATAATTACCATAAGATCCACTTGCATCTCTTGAGCAAAGAGTGACGCAAGCGAGTCATTATCCCACGCCATCTTTTCCCCACTAAGTAAAGGCGCCGTTCGACGTGTGATGACGTCGTTCTCGTTAATTACGGGAATTATTCCCACATCCAACAGTGTACCCAAAGTCTTTTTGAGATTTTCACGTACTTGAGGCTCTCGGAAATCCGCATCAGACGCCAATATTTGGGAACAGTTCAAATGGTACTGAGAAAACAACATCTCGTAGAGACTCTGGAGTCCACTCTGACCCGCCGCAGCACAGGCTTTCTCATAGAATTCCACGTTATCCTCCACTTGGCCTCCAAGATGAGACTGCATCGACCCCGATAGTAGGTACTGACGCCGTAATACCATTTTGCCAATAGTGATCGAGCCGCTTGATACGAGGATGATGTTGTGGCCACGCATGTGCAAAATTGCGATCTGTTCCACAATGTTGCCGATCTGCCCCATGGCCAGAAGACCTTCAGGCGAATGGACGATCTCCGTCCCAATCTTGATGAGGATGGTGCGAGCACGACGCAAGTCTCTTCCGAATTCCCGCATCTCGGGCGACGTGAGGGAATCGATCATGGTCCACGGAAGTGGCAAAAACTGGAATGCAAAACCTTTTTGTGTTTTGCACGATTAGATGAGCAAAATGATGGGAAGGAGTCAGATCTGAGGCGCTGATTGATTGGTACAAATTGGAGCGGCGACTTAAGTACGATCTAGACCAAACACAAATTTGTAAAAGAAAATAAAGTCGGAATTCACAATCAGCTTATCCAGTAAAAAAAACGAACGCTACATATACAGGTTGTGGTAGCCTCACATGCCACCTTAGATCGTCACTCACCCGTGATACCCAGCGTTTGTCCGCCAGCTTTTGCGACGAATATCCGACGAACCCGTCAGCATCAATGTCTCGTACTGGACGTACTGCTTATAGTCATTGCTGCCACATTATCGCGATTACTTACTTAAGTATGCTGTTACGTCAGCGGCTCACGGACTTTGCATCGTATTGATGCTCGGCCGCTCACTATTAATAACCTTTTCGCGTGGTCGTTCTGCAAAAGCTAGAAATTCCAGCGACTAAGTAAAAATCTGGTCCAAATCTCACGAATTTTGTAAACATTTACGACAAGCTCACGTACTTGTATCCGTTTCGATTATTTAGTGTGAGAGGGAAGTATTTCGCTCTTGTATGTCGCGAAATTATGGAGATCACGATGCAGATACGATGAGCGCACTTTTACCAAGAGCGAATTTGAATCGCTTTTACTTGATCCTGTTAGCAATTAATTGCGGATCGTCTGTTATTGTCGATACCATGTTTATCGAACTCGATAAAGCTCGAAAGCTTTTTGCGGCCGTCCTGTTCGTTGGACCTCATGGCATCTATAAGAGTGCAATACACCGTGCTGTTAAGCTATCTGAATAACTACGATCCGGTTATTAACGGGTTTAGCGGATTAATGTGGTACAATGATGAGCGAGTAGCCCGAGCTCTGAATGAATTTCAGATCATCTTCGTTGTTTCGCGGTCAAGTTCGGTGTAAAGTAAATTTACTCCTGTAAAAAATAACGATAACCACAAATTTATTGATTCAAAGTCTGAAATTTAATTAGAAGGTTTGATCCTCTGTTCATATTGGCACAAATCATACCAGTCGTTTCTAAGGCAAACAATTTTCAAATACGTGTACCAGGGTTATGCACTGTCAATACGACAATAACGTACTTCGCGAGGCGCTTTTCATAGATTGCGTATTCTTAAATGCATTGTACTGCTGTTAAGATGCATGGTTTTTGCATCAAATACATGTTATTCTAGATATAATACAAATACAAACCCCATTACGAGAGTAAAGATCATTAATCTTAGCACCATTGTTTTCAGCGGAGCTCTTGCAAACGATAATATGAGAACTTGACATCTATGCGCTGAAAAGCTGTTTGATATAATTGACATCATTGCATCGCGATTTTAGATTCAGCGTTCGAGCTTAAAAAGCGTGTATTTAAAGCACTTTCTTAAAAACTTCGAAACGCATAAAGAGCTTGAAGCTCGTAAATAGAAAAGGCTTTTACTGCTCGCTATAGCTGAAATCGCCAGTGTCATATTAGTGATTCTAGCTTGTGAGTTGCCGTTACTGGACTGCGTGGACCACGGTGCGAGAATCTCCACCAAAAAGTCAACAAACATGGTGGAGATAACAAAGACGAGTCTCAAGATACCACAGTTGCTGAATGTAAATTCTAGAGTGTGCCCGTTAAGAGAATGCATTGGTCAAGAAAAGCGGTCTTCATGATGACGTTGTTTGGCGCACATTCCTCGAAACAATTCCCATCATTTTACTAGCTGTAGAAAAATCATGAATGACGATGATGATAAACATAACCTTCTGATATTCTTTAGAAGTCTTATATGCATGTTGTAAATTTTAAAAAAAAAGGGGGGGGGGTGTCTTTCTCTAGAGAATAAAGTTAAGAACGCTTTGGGGTCCGTGGCTCCATTTGGTTTGAACACATGTTCGCTTGGGAATCCAGAATTTGCCATCGCATGTCCAATAATACGCGTTTGGTTTGTTCGCGTTTTTCCCAAACATCAGATTCCTCTGAAAGCGTTTTCTTGTAGGTTTTCACATACTGTAGTATCCCGGACACATTGCTAAGTGTTTTGTGCAAAGGGTTTAGTAGAGAATTCTTCTTGGATGATGAAGTAGTATCTTGGTAGAGACGCTTGCTAAGTCGAGAATCGAGCATTGTCACTCACAGAAATGCATTTTGTATGGGAGTGGTGCTGGCTAGCTACCTGATGACCTGGTGTACTACGTGAGCAAAATCCACAAACTAGGGTGTACGGGAAGGGCTGTACGTACAACCTGCTATCCATGGTTGACAACGTGTATTATGGCTTTGGTAGTATCCTCCACGTATCATGTTGTGCAGGCCGGTACGCTGGAAGCACTCCAATATCCAGCCGGAAACGAGCGGAGCAATCACTTCTCCCCCGCTAAGGTCATGATGAGCTGGAAACTTTAAGACATAGTCCTTTAACCTAGTCTTTGCCAATCGTTTCCAAGCGCTTGCTATTGCCTGTACTTGATACCCCCCCCCCCTGCTGCATAAATTGCATCTTAATAAGTTGACGAAGTGTGGTTAATTTCGTTGTCAAATACTTCCTCTGGTCGGAAATGATCACGCGAAAACAACATTTTGACCAATTGTTTCAGCTCTCTTTATCTAATACAGCATCTGATTGCACAAAACGAAGAACCAGTATCTCCTCTTTTTATAACCACCAGTTTTGCGCTGAACGTACTTCCGTAGCCTCTGCCATTTTATTTTTAGGTCTCAAGGTCTCAAGCCTCGCTTGGGGTGCGACCCGCCACGCCTGCGCTACGCTGCTTCTTCCTCTACAAGCATGCTGAAGTCCACCTTACCATCAAGCGAGCGCAAAGTCGTCAATGACGAGCTTCTAAAGATCAGCAACAACGGAAAGAAGGGATGGAAGCGCTGCGAACCACGTTTATCAAACTGGCACTAGCATATAATAACAAGATACGGCAGGTAGACCACGATGTTGTCATTTTTCGACGAATCTACCTTGCCGTTCGAGCCTATGCACAATCTAGTGCGTATATATGAGAAGTGGCTTTACGCAGACAAGCTTTAGTTTTTTTTTAATTTTGGGTACGATTCTCACCGAAAGCAGCGTTGAAATGGCAGAGCTGGGATATGGATGAATATACACGTCTTTCAAAGGCAAGATTGTGAATATGTGATTAATATCCAATCATATACTACAATTTATCTTAATTCAGCCAATTAGGTCGCACAGGAGCAGGTTCTTCATTCCGACACTTTCTGACATATATTTGTCGGAAGCTAGAGCTAACTATTTCGAAACCAATACTGAATTTAAGTCGTGTCAGATATATGTCAATATTTTGTGGTTCCGGCAATGCGGTATACCTCCTACTTTAGGTTAAAATTGAGCAGTAGTGTTAAGGTACACTCAACCAGTCAAGTCCAGTTAGCAAAAAGCAGAAAAGACAAGCAGCAACCAGCATGAGCCTCTCCACACTTATCCCTACAAACACGCAAAAAGCGCGTACTACCGGAATAGGCGCGTTCGAGCGTATGCTTAAAGTCGAGGATGTATCCATGGACGTTTTCGAGCATGCATTTTCAGTGACAGCTCTGGAAAGAGCTTAGCGGCAGTGATGGATCGTTTTGGCTACTATCTTGCCACCTGCGAAGGTAAGAAAGGTAAGTTGGCGCCCAACACCGCCATTTCTTACTTTAGAAACGTGAAGCTTTGGTTTTTCGATGAGTATCCTCATCTTAGAGTACCAACCGAGTTAATTTTGCTTAAACAAGGGAAGACTCTCGAAAAACACTGTTTAAAACGTGATAATGGAGGATTTACTAACAAGGCGCCACCTTGTACAAAGGCGGATTTGCGCTCACTAATCTGCTATGTGTACAAAGCAGCATCCGTCGCCTCGGATTACGAAGATGCAGCGCTTGCGTGCCATATGTGGCATTGCTTCGGCCGTTCATCAGATCTCGGCTACGTCACAAAGCAGCACATTACAATGTCAGCTGACAACGTTTTCTACATTCGGATTCTACGAATGAAAACAGCTGAGGAGCAAGGCCTCACGCTCGCACCTGATCGGGCGGATTTTTTTACCTGCCCGCTGCACACGCTCGCAGTAGCCTTGATGATGCAGGAGTCGCCTTGTGTGTCCCTGCTAAGCCAGCTTCCTTCTCTTGTGACACCGTCTGCACCCTCACTTGATGCAGGAGCACCCCTTCTCGATGTACTACGAGTACCTTCGGTCAATGCTGCCACCTCTTCGCAGCTTGCTGCAGCAGGGATGACTGACCCGGCGGCCGCCACTCTGCGAAGCGTCCCGAGCTCCGCTGCAGCCAACCCTTCAGCGACCAACCAAGCTCGCGGTGACGACGGGGTTCATACGTATGTGAGCCGGTTCCTGAAGCGGGTATCGGAGCCGGCAGGAGCCTCAGCCAACTTGACCTCGCACTCCTACAGGCGAGGCGGGGCGCAGCATGCAAACGGGGACGAGCGGCTGGCTGCACAGTGGATCTTTGATCGTGGGTCATGGGACATGACGCGCACCAACAAAGGAGTCGCCTATGTATTCAACACGCCACGCGAGGACCGTAAAGTAGCACGGGTCTTGAGCGGGTGGGCTGCGGACGAGGCACCGACGGTTCTTGATGTTGCCATTCTCGACCATGGGGCACAGGAGCGCATGACCCGGTTGCAGGAGTTGCTGTTCGCTTCCTGTGTAGGGCTGAAGAACAACAAGCTAAACGTGAGTCGCAAGGTAATTGGGGTCCTTACCGCCTACCTAATTAGGCATTTCCCGGAAGTGAAGACTCTGGAGCTCAGGAGCTTGTTCGTTGTTCGAGTGGAAGAATGCTTGGAAGCAGCTGACATCTCCCACACCGACTTGCTGGCGTGGTCGGTCGCGCTGAGCCATGTCGCCTCCAAACCTGCTCAACAAAGGAAGGACACTGAAAAG